TCCATACGAACTTTTTTTAATGCAACTATTTCTTGACTAATTTTATCCCGGCCACGATAAACTACACCATATGTACCTTTACCAATACAATTTAATTTTTCAAATTCAGATACCGGTCTAAATAGAATTCCTTTTGTTTTTTCTCGAAAAGACAATTTTGAAAAATCAATCATGCAATATTCTATAATCTATTCGTGTAACTCAGAGATATCCATGACGGCACAACAGATATTTCAAAAATACTATCGCGACTAGAGATCGAATCGAACCGACTTTTATAGATTCGAGTTCGGTTCCATTCATTTTCAGTCTCTGATAGGCGTAATATTTTCCGGTAAGTTTATTTTAAACTAAAACTGTTGCCAATATAAATTTAAAATTTTTGTGAATTAAAATTCAACAATACAATCGTCAAAATACATGACCTCAAGAAAAATAGATCAGAAATAAGAAGAGAAACTACTATTATATGTTAACATCCGAAGATTTCGTAAAAACAAAACGATCGCACTCTGTTCCTATTATTTTCTAATGATAATAAACAAAACTTGTATAAATATCTTTACTAGTAGATCTGAGGAATAAAAGGTTTCTTTTGATTTCTATAGATAACTATACAAAGTGAAACTTAAGTTTAGAGCTTAAAATATTTCAGATATATTTTGAGTTTATTGAAAATTTTATATAAATTCGATTGAAATTTAAAATAAAACGAAATTCTTTTACAATTTATTTCTGAACTTGATAAATTTTTGTAAATGTAAATTGATCGTTCATAGTCCCCTGATATGTAAAATGTTCGATCAAAGATCGTTTGATAATCTCATACATCATCACAATTTTACAAAAAAAGGATTATAGCTCATTTAATCATTTTTCTTATGTACTTGTTCATATTTATTTGCTTTTTAAAAATTAGTTAGGTTCGGTTCGATTTCGATCTCTCTGTTTCATATTATCTAAACATTTTTTCTTAATTCTAATAAATCATAGATAAATCTCAAACATTACTAATATCTTACCTACATGTACCAAAAAGACAAGAATCAGGAATTGTTATAGGCTGATCTGTAAGCATTGAATAAATTGTTGTTTTAGTCTCTTCATTAGTATTATTAGTACTATTATTTGCTCCCGATGAAGACATCTGTATATATATATATGTATTGTCTAAAGAAGTAAAAATTAAATTATATCTATTGTTACTAGTCATTATTTTTTGTCTATATGAATTGATATTAAATGAAAAATAAAATAAATAAATAAATATTTTTCCGTTGGTCAGTCTTATAACTGAAACCAACATTCGCAATGGGTCGGTTTTATTCCGAAAATGCATCCATCACACATATATAGGTATATCTGTCTAATTCTACATGGATACGCGTTTTTTTTTTCTCGGGCTGACTCGAACAGATAGAAAAAAGTTACACATATAGATAAAGTTAGTACAAGAAGAGAAAAAAAAAGAACAACAAAATCTTTTTTTTTTTTGGTTTTAGTTTTTCAGAATAGAATAGTTCGCAATCATGTGAGAAAGAGCCAAACAAGCAACAATGAACGAAAAGAAGAAAAAAAAATGAACATACGCACACACACACAAAAAAAAAAAATATAGAAAAAAAGAGAGACATATGAATGCCAATATATGTACATACGAGTGAGAGATAGGAACAAGTCGAACTGTAGAGAAAGCTAGAACCAATATATGTATATATTGCACACAGGGTCGAGTAGAAAGAAATCAAACATATGAAATAAGGCTCTAGGAGTAATGGAATAGGATGTTTCCATCTTCGTAGGTTCACTGAAAAAGCACTAAAATAAAGGAGGAAAGAGTTGAAGAAGAAAAAGAAGACGCGTACGCAAAAAAAGAAATTACTGATATTTTTTATACGTGTTTACAAACAAAAGGTCTTTTTTTTAAACTTTTTTTTTTGGTTTAAGTTTTTTTTTTTTGTAACTTTTTTCGATTTTTTTTTTTTGTTCTTTTTTTGGGTTAGTTATATGAATAGATCAAGAGTTTTTTTTTTTTTGACATAAAGAAAAAAGAAGAAGAAGAAAAAAACTGAATAAGAAGAAAGAAAGACATGAGTGGTACGCGTTGCTGAGCCGAGAAGAAATGAAAATGAACAAGAAATATAGATATGTATGAGAAGGTGAGAAAAACAAAAATAAATAGAAGTTAAAGGGAACTGATAACATCAACAAAAGATATTTGACTGGGTTATATCATCACCATCATTTATATTGTTACAGTTCTTTTATTGACACCGTTTTGTTTGCTTTTTTTATTCTTGAGCATTTCGATGATCATCATCGACAGATCTAAAAGAAAATTATTATTTTAATTAAAAAAAAATAAAATAAAATAATTTTACCTTTGATGATTCGTTCGTTGTGGTTGAGGTCGATGAAATAAATTATGTGATGCATATAATTGTTGTTGAAATTGTATATGATATGGATATTTTAATGAATTTCCATTTGAATATTGTATCAATGGTTTATCAATTGGACCATAACTAAAATTTTTATATACATGATGAATTTCTCCAAAACTAATTACACATAAGAGAAATGTCTAGCTTTTTTCTGATACTCTAATTGAGACAAAATTTTCTAATCCCTATCCTGTCCAGTGAAGCTTCTACACGTCATTTGAAACCCTTGTCGAGGCCCTAATTGCATCATTTCTTTCTCAGTGTTCTTTACCCTTATCCTAAATACAATTTCTGTTATGGAACCTAAAAAAGTTCTTCAGGTGGATATATACTCGGAACCATTTTTGGTTGCATACCAAACCCAAAAACGGTTTCGAGCTTGTATCCACGAGAAGAATTTTTTTAGCTTTCGTAACAGAAAGTTTTTTAGAGGGTGTTCATCCTGGAGAATCGAGGGAGCTGCGAATCCTTTCAGATTCGGGCCCGGATCTACGGCTCCATAGTAAAACCTTTGCTCTTACCTTACCCTACAAAGCTTTATCTCACTTATTCACTACTTGAAAGACTCTGAAAGTGATAAATAGCGAAATAGTATCATGTTAGAGATATACAGACTAAGCTTTTTTTTGTTACCCTGTATTCTTAGTGAGAGAAATTTTTCGAATCCTTAATCTGCATGGTAGAATAACTCTCAGAGGTGAAGAATCTGTCGTAAAAACAGAAAATTTTTTCGAACGCGCGTTTCTGCACCTTTGATAATTCTTCACATCTCTAACACATAGTTATAATTTTGAATGCACAATTCTTTACCGAAGAAGAACTAACGCTCTATTTTAGATAGACATGTCACAATACGATAAGGTATTAGTATTGACGAAAATCTTTTTTTTTTGTTTCATAAGAATTGTATATCATTTTTTTTTTGTTAAAATGAATATGACATACTTTAATCGACTATGTTGAATCTGTCGAGTTGGTCGTTGTTCATTTTGATAATCACGATAAATGGACCGTAGTCGTTTTCGATAGATCAGTGTACTTTCACTGACAGTAAGAATTTTTGAAAGTATACTAAAATCATATATATATATATATACATGAACAACAAAAAATGAAACAAATATTTTTTTTTTCTATGGTATTTACGAAGGTGCATTTTTTAATGTTGTATTTTGATCAGATACACTTTGTAATAATTTATCAAATGCTTCACGAAATGCTGAATTAAGTTTTGGTGTTAACCATGAAGCTTTACTAATATCATTTTCTATAAAAAAAAAAAAGAAAAGTTGATAGAAAAATTCAAGATTTTTTTTCTTTTACATACTATCATTAAATGGATCAACAATACATAAATTACTGATCGTACGATGTCCACAACAAAAATTTTTAAATAATTCTTCTTTATCTATAAAACCGGCTGGACGATCAGGTTGATGTGGTGTTTGTACACGAATGCCCAATTTAGCATAATTAAAATATACACCATATAATTCAAGAAAACTTATAAGCATATGACCAAGATTGGCATGTTCAATCATACTATTATTACTACTTGTTGTACAACTGTTACTACTACTATTACTACCGCCACTAATACCATTATTAAAATGATCATCATCAAGATCACTGTTATTATTACTACAACTATTATTATCATCTGATGATATACATGAAGCAGCTGATGATGATGGATATGATGTTGAAGATGAACAATCATCTGTAGTACCAATTTGATTTCCATTTTTTAATGATGATGATGTTGTTTTAATTGTTGCTGTTGATGATGTTGATAATCCAGATAGAAATGAAGATGATAATGATGATGACCAAAATGAATGTTGATCTTTTTTATAATAAGTCTATTGAAATAAAAAAAAAAAAGAAAATACTTATTCGTTAGTGATGTGACTTCACAAAAAAAATATATATATATGTTAAGTTACTCTAGATAACTTGAAAAAATCTTATTCATAAAAGTTATCAGTAAAAAAACTAACGTTGAAAAGGATATCAATTTTCATTTCTCTGCATTGACGCAAACAAGAAAGGAAAGATACTCCTGCCTTTCGGTGTATGGAAATGTTGTCTAGTGGTAGATCCAATAGTCTGAGATCTTCCTTACAAGCTGTAACTGTGAATAGAAGATAAATTTTTGTGCTCACATACACACTAATTAACCATATACTAGCCACAAGAATAAGTGTATGTCATAAAATAGTCACTATACTATCGGACAAATGATCTGAAATAAACAGCCGTCAGTGATTTGCCCAGGGTCGAACATAGTACCCTGTGGATATATGTCAAACTACGTAGTCACCCAACCATAGCAGCTGGATTGAGGCAAAATTAAATAGTACATTCTATAGACGATTCCAAAGGCTACAAAATTTGTGTTAAAAGTTTTTTCTCAACATGTCTAGATGTTGTAAAACATGATCTGAAAGAAGTGTTGAAGTATATCGGATAGTTTTACTCTCCCTTCTACACAGACACCACAGGAACCTGTCATAGATTATAAAAGATGTTGCTGAGATTCGATCAAAAATCATCATATATGAACTACTTTCTTATTGAATTTCTAAAGGATTAATATACTTTTTAATCAATTGAAAGAGTCAACATTTCTACATATGTCTATATTAAAAACATTTATTCAGAAAAATAACTCTTGTCAAAAATCAAAGTCATTGAAAGGTGAATATGTCATATTTTGCCTTGAATGACTATTATATTAGTTTATAGTTTGTTTTTTATTTTTTATTATTTACTTGGAAAAAACAGACCAACATAAGAATAAGTGAATAACTACTAATACCACCTGTCCATACTTCATTTAGATTAAGTTGTAATAAATATTGTTTTAATACATAAACGAGATATTTCAATGATGGATATACTTCTAAATAATGCTAGAGAAAACAAAAAAGTTTTTTTTTTTTTCGTATGAATCTTTTAAAGAACAAAAAAAAGAAACCATACGAGAATAAGTTGAGCACTACGAAGACCATTATTCATATTAAAACTCATATCTACTTTAACATCAGTTCGTCGATCAGTTAATTTAATAATTGGTACTGTTGCTCCATTTAATAATTGAATACCTTCTTGTGTACATATACGATGACGACAAAAAGCTTCACGTAAAACTAACATTAATGCTTCAAGTTCTTCTGGTCGCCATTGACGACCATCTTTTGAATGAACAATTAAATCAATATCACTAAAAATAACAAAAAATATTCTTAAATTATTTTTGACAAAATTCTTTTTTATTTTTCCCTAACCTCATCGGTAAATATAAACCAGTTTTATAACTGCCATAAATATCAACCTAATATGAATAATAAAAATAAAATATAAATATTTTTTTTTGTTGTTGTTGTTTTTCTTCATTTTCTTACAGACGCTGTAGGTAAATATTGATTAATAACATTAGTTATACGATTAATAACTTGTTGTCGTACAGCATGTTCTTCTTCAGTTGGAATCATGAATTGATAAAATTGTAAAATTTCATAATGAAGACGATAGAGACGAACGGACATAAATGGTGGTGCACTAAAACAAAACAATTTTATTATAAAAAGAAAAATTCAATTAATATATAAACTAACGTCATAAGATCGAAAAGTTCGACAGGTATTTGTGTATATCTCCATGGTGGACATACATTTCGTTGATCCAATTGCATTGGTGTACGTCGTAAAAGAAAACGATCATGTAGATAGACACTTCGATCGTGCATCGTTTTCTTTCTTGAAGTTTTTTTTTTTAATCGATCGATGACTTGTCACTAAAATAGTTAGTTAATATATATATATATATATGTATAAGAAAAAAAAATGTCGAATGTTTCTCTCGATGTATACCAATTCGTTAAATGATTTGTTTTCGAATGGAAATACTAGAAATAGAAAGAAAGAAAAACATAGTTAAATCGAGGGTTCAAAATAATATAACGAAAAAGGAGTGAACGATATACTCGAACATAATTATGTCTTCGTGCATTATATGTGTGTCTTCGAAAATGACATACGAAGAATAAGAGAGAAAAAAGCAAAAGAAGAAAAAGAAAGCAAGATGTCTTATGAAAGGATTATTTGTAGACACAATAACAAGTTGACTGATAGTAGACTGCAAACAACCGCAAACATATATAAAGAAAAGATTTTTCTAGAGAAGAGTAACAACACGTGTGTTTGGATATAAATGCATAGTGGTTAAGTTAGATTAATGATTGGTTCAAATTTGCCCAATCAATAACAAGGCATCACTCTACAATAAATAGAATAAACAAGCAAAATAGACATTTTCAAGTATATATTTTGCTTTTAAACCATAATCATTGTTATTACTTATGATGGTATTATGTTTAAATAAATAGAATTCAATAGGGAAAAAAAAACTATATTTTTAGTTTTATTCAAAAATACTAATAGAATAAATACGTACATGTATTTTAAAATAGTATTAATCGAAATTTCTAGAATAATATCACTTGACTGAACAGAAAAAACACGTCATGTCATAACAAATAAACAGATATACCATTGAAAATGATTGTTATTTTTGAGAGTCATCATCGTTTTCGTACAAAATACAATCGTTTTCATTTATTACATATCAATCACAATATGTTCAAAGTTGATGATCTAACTAATTAGGCTACATAATGAATCTACTCTTCATACGATAATCATGGTTTAGCTTTAAAGATCTAATCCGATTTTCAACTGATTATAATTAGTTTATACTTTGTATAAAGATGCTCAGGCATGGATAAGATTTATTTTCATGGTTATTCTCAAAAATACTTAACACTTAATTAGTCAAAAGTTTGTTTTATAGATTTTAGAAAACTAAGCCACGGTCAGTAAATATTAGATCTTCAACAGATAATTATAAGTTAGTCAAAAGCAAAAGCTTATCACATTACTTGTGTTGAGCATCGTTGTATAACCATGTGAATAAGGAAAGAAGAATGTTCATCGATATTTTTCTTAACTTGCCATACAATAGTGACGAGAAACTTTCAAGACAAATACAACAAAACACAACTATTATAACTAATTATGAGTTTTTAATTAATAAACAAGAAAATATTGCATCTTTATGTAATGAATAAAAATTCTTTTTTTTTTGTAAAATTTTATTTTTCACTAAACACATATAAAAGGACAAAATAGACTAGCGAGAACGAAAATATGGTCGTTGAGATATGACATCATTTTCAATATTTTTAAAAGCCCATTGATGATCAACAACAAGTAAACCTTCTCGTTCAGCTTTAAATGCTTTTGATGAATCTTGTGGCATTGATACAGCGGCCATATTCATTTGATCTTGCATCATTTTTGTTTGATCAGCTGCATTATTTTCTCCAAGAAGTAAATTGTTGACACCACGTTGACCAAATATATTGATAGCATACCAAGAAACAGATGATAACCTAATTGAAGAAAAAATAAAAGAGTTCTTTTTTTTTTAAATAATAGAATAAAAGTCATTTAACTAACCAACTAGCATCAAGTGTTGCCAATTCAACACCACGTTGTAACATTGGTTTAAAACGATACGTTAATGGAAAAGGTACTTTAGCTAAAAAAAAATATCAAAAACAATTTGTTTTCAAATTTATCTGACAAGGAAATTTCTTTCGGTCTGAATTCGCTGTTCGACCAAAACGATATTTATTTGATGAATATTAGAAAGTAATAGAAAAGTCTGGAATGATTTAGTTTTTCGGATCTTCGTTCTCGTGATATCAAAATTTTACTGAGTTTTTCGACAAAAGGTCGTAGTCCTCCTCAAGTCACATTGAAAATTAACTATCGAGTTTCGACTTCAAACTTTGTATGAACAAAGTTTTCAATGAGATTAGTTGATTGTGCAACTCGTATTTTCTTTTTGGAGATGTCAATCAGGATAGAAGATACTAGAAAAGCTAAAACTTGCATAATTAACTCATCTCATTAAGAACTTTATGCATACAAAGTTTGAAATCGAAAGTCGATTAGAGGAACTACAACTTTTTGTTGAAAAACTCAGTAAAATTTTAATATCTCAAGTACGAAGGTCCCGAAAACTAAACCATTCTAGACTATCTATTATTCACTAGTATTCATCAAATGAACATTGTCTAGGTTCAAAAAGTGATTTAACACCTGAAGAAATTCCTTCGCAAGTTCGAATCTTTTTCATCAAGATTGCATGTTCCACGAATTTTTCTCATCGAACTATAGGGTGTCCGGAAAGTCCTTAAAGTTACAAAAATTTGGATATCTCCTTTACGGCTCGACCAAACAGGCTCATTTTTTTAACAAAGATTGAAGCATATTCACACTTCAAATCCATATGGACAAGGGTATTGAGAATCTTTGTTAAGTATCACTATTGACCTCAACAAGAAAATTTTACTGTTTCACAGTTAGGAAAACAAACATTACACAGGATAGGGCAAAAGACACTTTATTGAAAAGACAATTGACTCTCTCCATTATGGCTTGAGCAAACCAACTGATATTTTTACCCAGGATAGAGGCATATCCACACTCCAAATCCATACTGACAAAGTTAGTGAGAACCTTTGTTAAGTATATGGTTTTTCTTCCTCTCTGTGAAACAATAAAATTTTCTTGTTGAGGTCAATAGTGATACTTAACAAAGATTCTCAATACCCTTGTCCATATGGATTTGGAGTGTGAACATACCTCAATCTTTGTTAAAAAAATGAGCTCGTTTGGTCGAGCTGTAAAGGAGATATGCAAATTTTTCTAACTCTAAGGACTTTCCGGACACCCTGTATATACTTGCTCGTATTGCGCGTTTGCTTGCGCTACCTCCGACATACTGACAGTAGACTGCCGATCGATTGTCGGTATACCGACGGTTTTTATCCGATTTGAATCTGATAGGTAGTCTAATACTAAAAGGTTTTTTATTCTTTTTACAAATACCATGAATGTTTGTTTCGATTGCATAGGAATTTTCTTAATGACTATTCATACTTGTATTTCACTAACTAGGAATACATATTAGAGTTAGAGATTTACTGTTACGCTTAACAAAAAACAAAAGTCAAAAATATTTCATGATTAAACGCTTCATTTTTTTTTCAGTTTATTTTTTAGGATACATACTACAAAGAAAACCACTAAATGCCCAATTGATAACACCACCAATGACAATCATAGGTACCATATTTGATATATTATTTTTAAGCATTTCAGTCATCATTGTTGGATCTAGAATATTAAATTTATTTATATTTTTATGATTTTTTTTTTTCATTACCTGTAATTGGATTTCGCATAGGTTGTTGTCGACCTTGTTGTTTAGTAAGATAACCATTTTCTTCATTAACAAAAAAATGTTTTCGCATAACAAAACCCTATTTGGAAAAAAAAACAATATTAATATTCAAAACAAAAGAAAATCTATTCAAAATTAAATTAACCTCTTTTGGAATATATTTTCCATTTTCACGTAAAATTCTTGTTCGGATAAGTGCTTGACTAAAATATACATTAGAAAAATTACAAATAAAAACCTATTCGATGAAAAAAAAAAAGACAAAAAAAATTACCTATCAGCTAATTGTTGTTTATCAACAGGTTTGTCACCAGCTGTTATTATTGAAATATAATGTCGTAGCATACCAACAAAAAATGTAATGACCACAATAGGCATAAATACCCAAAATCGAATAGCTGAGTCGAGTAATAATTCAACCATTTTTATTTTATTTATAATATAGGGAAAAAAAAACAAATATCTGAAACAAATTTAAATGAATATTTTATTTTTTATAAAAAAATATAAGTTTTAGTTTCTTGAATAACAAGATCACTTGAAAAGGAGATATACATATTATTCAAACTCGATCTAAAATTCATTGATTTTGTCATTGAATAAATTGATTATCCATCATAATTAGATTCATTATCCTTCTCTTTTTGTTTTGTTATCAAATTAAACTTGTCTCATCGAGTTGAATAAATTAAAATAAATCTCATCAAATTATTTTTCTCGAAAAATTTTTAAGAAATTTAGCATGAATAATCTATTCATATTTGTTTTTCTTGTTAAATAATTCGTCTTATCGTTCTTCATTAATATATGTATAAGGATCTTCATCATCAAAATATTTTTCTTCTTCATCACGTTCACGTATTTTAATGTCATCAAGATTTTCATTATTATCAATTGATGTATAATCAATATTAGAATCTTCACCATTAAGAAATTTCTCTAAAACAAAAAAAGAAAATAATTCTTAGAATAACTTTAAACTAATTAAATCTTCTAAATATTATCATTATATCTAGATGACCCATATTGTTTATCAGTTTTGAAATATTACTTAATTTAATATATAAGATATACGATATTGACTTGTTTATTTGAATTTTCATCAAATTCCCATTATAAGTTTAATTCTGTATCACTCACAGCGGTTTGCAGAAGAACTATTGATAAAACAATCCTATGAAGAATGTTAGCCTCTCTAATATACCAATGGTGTATGTGGTCGAATCCATCAGATGTTCTATTGCTTGCAGAGAGTGGTTTTAGTTACTCTAATGGCAATGTCGTAGGAAAAGAGGAATTGAACGACATCAGAAGTCTTGATATTTTTTTCTTTTATAACACTGTAGCGCACATTATATCGAACGATTTACCGGCGGACATTTGTCCGTTTTGTATCACATGAGTAGGCAAAAGCAACTTTTATCTCATAATATT